ACTTTTTTTTCTAATGCTAAAGATAGGACACACTTTAAATATAAATGCTTTAGCAAATAGAGACTAGAAAAGGAAACCTCCCCTTCTTTCTAAAAGAAAAGGCACTAGTAGACTTAGCAGAATAGTTGCTAGACATTAACATAGTAAAAATAATAGTTAGGTACGCAATAGCAACAAGCTGCCTAGAGCAAAAAAAAAGATAGAAACCTAGAACTATAGAGATAATAGTAGAAAAAAGACGCTTAATACTAACCCTATATAACAGCAGGCTTTACTTTACTTACTAACAAAAAGACTTTAAACACTTAAAGAAGAGACTTTAAAAACACTTACTATAAATTATAATTAGAGGGATATGTAACAACTACGCTAGATAGCAGAGCAGAAGGCATGTAAGGGCTACAAGGAGTTAAGCTATCACTAAGGAAGCGCTTAGGTAATAACGTACTAGTGCCCTCTAGGCTAGAGCCGGGCGTAATAAAGACATCATCATCATCATCTGCTTGTGCGCGATAGCTTGTATCTAAACTGTAACGCTGCTACTGTGTACAGACATCTAAAGTATTTTATTTCTTATATGTTAAATTTACATTTACTTAGATATAGGTGTAGTCTGTACTTTTAAAGTCTTTTAAGTACTAGCTTAACTTCCTAGATGTAGTCTGTAAGGACAGAGCTCTGTACCACTACGCTAATACAACTAAAAAGGTGCGAATAATTAACTAACAGTTAATTATTGCGTACAGAATAGTATATATACCTGTCGCACGTAAGCACCATCTCAGCCTTACATTATCCCCCTTCTTAGCAGACGCATGTCCCAGGCGTCACATGACCTACCCGCAGCTCAGAGGCGCCTATGCGCATGTCTCAGTTACCGGCCAGAGGCTGACCACCTGCGGCCCAGAGGCGCGGGATAAATAACGACGCTTAGTGGCCCACGCCAGCTAAGCCATATACACTAGACCTTCCAGCAGCAACAACGTGGCGCTAGAAGAGGCCGCCTCACGTTTCAGTCTAAAAACTAGCTTAAAGCTGACTAAGGTGGGGATCAAACACTAACTGTACCCCGCTGTTAGTTAATTATTATGTAAGGACAGAGCTCTGTACCACTACGCTAATACAACTAAAAAGGTGTAAATAATTAACCAACAGTTAATTATTGCGTACAGAATAGTATATATACCTGTCGCACGTAAGCACCATCTCAGCCTTACATAGTCTAGCTTATCTTTCTTAGTATAGATTAGTATATTATCTAAGTATACTAGTATAAAGATCTCTAGGTACTTGTTAAGTGCTATGTTTATAACTTACTAGAATATTGCTAGAGCATTAGTTAATCTAAAGCGTATAACTATTATTTTATATAGTCTCTATAGTGTTTTAAAGGCTGTAAGTAGTTTATATTCTACTTTTATCTAAATTTTATTAAAGCTATCTTGTATATTAAACTTAGTAAAGTGCTTAGTTTTTTAGAGTTAATCTATTATATTCTAGATTATAAAAAAAAGTCTTAGTTTTTAATTATATTATTATTTATGTCTTTAAAGTCTTAACAGACTCTTAGTTTTCTATTTTTCTTTAGCGTAAATACTAGAGTAGTTGTATAGTTAGCTTTACTAGCTTATATATGTTTTTTTAACAACATTGTTTTAACACACAGTTTTAAGGCTTCTTTTTAGGTTCTTATTAGAGCTTTTACTTTATAAGTTTTTAAATGTAATTCTGTTTTTAAGTTTATTACATAGTTCTAGAGTTAATGTAGGGGAAGTTCTTCTAGATCTTCTAGTGTCTTAAACATGTCCTTATATTCTTAGTATTTAACAGAAAGTTCTCTAGTTTCTAGAGTAAAGCAGATTATTTTTATTTAACGTACTTTACAATCAAGTTGCTTCTACACCTAAGTTGCTTACTTTTACTAAGACCCTACTAAACTACTTTTTTTATACTAATGTATTTTTAATAACACTACTTAAACATGCTAAAAATGTTAAATATAGCTTACACTCTAAGCTTTTAAATAAAACATAAAACTTTTAAAAAAACATGCTGCAGCTATATATAAAGTCCTTTAAAAAATAATAAATAACTATAGCACTAGACAACCTTTATAAGCTAATTCTATTACTAACTTATAAAGGCTAGGTAATAATAAAAAGTAAGTAATTATTAAGACTATACTTAAGCTATATACGTAGGAATTTTTCTTTTAAATAGCATTTATAGCTAATATAGCTAATTCTTTATGTGCTAAGTGTAATCTAGGCTATGTTAGTGTAAACTAGCTTAGTATGTTTAAAAAGTGTTATCTAGAGCTTAAGGTAACATTTAAGTGTAGTATAGTAATAAAAAAGCTTTTTATAAAAGTTCTAGAGTAATTTAAAGCAGGTTTAGCCTTATATAGAATATTAAAGCTAAGTATAGCATTTAGAATAATAACATGTATAACTTTAGTAAGATAGGCTTTATTATAAGTTAAATATTTATTAACTATACTTATACTTAAAACTTTACTTTAAGCTTTAAATAACACTTTATAAACATACTAGGCTATTTTATGCTAATATAGCCTAGATTACACTTAGCGCGCAAAAAATTAGCTATATTAGCTATAAATACTATTTAAGAGGAAAATCCTTACGTATATAGCTTAAGTATAGTCTTAATAATTACCTACTTTTTATTATTACCTAGCCTTTGTAAGTTAGCTATAGAATTAGCTTATAAAGGTTATCTAGCGCTATAGTTATTTATTATTTTTTAAGAGACTTTATACATAGCTATAGCATGTTTCTTTAAAAGTTTTATGTTTTATTTAAAAGCTTAGAGTGTAAGCTATATCTAACATTTTTTTTTAGCATGTCTAAGTAGTATTGTTAGGAATGCATTAGTGTAAAAAAAGTAGTTTAGTAGAGTCTTAGCAAAAGTAAGCAGCTTAGGTGTGTAAGCAACTTGCCTGTAAAGTACGTTATTATAGTCTAGGACTTTTTTCTTAACATATTTTATAAAGCCTACATTTTCTAGGTTAGATTATAGTAATTTGTTTTCCTACCTAAACTATTAGTGTTCTAGGATTACATAATTACTATGTACGTAGTCTTTGTTTTCTATTCTAGTGTAGAATAGTAGTTAGTTACGTTATTAGTAGTCTCTTTATTAAAAGTAGTAAAAGGCGTATTCTTATCTATGTTTACATTCTGTCTAGGGTGTTTATTTATGTAATAGGGATACCTTACAGTAGGTGCAGTCTAGGTTTTTGTAGGTAGTTGCCTATTCTTCTATAGCATTAGTTAAACTGCCTTAGAAAGTACTTCTAATTAGCTACTACCTAGCTTAATGCTTAGTAGTCTAGTAGCTGCAGCAATACTTATTAGTACATAGATACTAGGTTGCTACGCATTCTATGTTATTAGTTTCTACTGCTATTAGTTATTATTATGTCTATTTTAGGTATTCTTAAGTTCTTATTATTTATAAAGAATATTCTTTATATTAGTAATTTCTTTCTAAGTAACATTTACTTTTATAGAAGATGCATTTATTTTTATTATTTTACAAAATCTGCTGCTTTCTAGGAATTGCTATAGCTAGTAGTAGAGTATTTACTTATTTCTAGCTTAGTTGTAGAACCTTAAATTAGTTAAATATACATTTAAATATTTAGTCTTAGTGTACTATATTTTAAAAAAACTTTTATTATTTTTTTATTAATAGGTTATACTAGACTCTAGCTATTATAGAAATAACAGTATATATTTCTATGTTATTTCCTGCTATTGCTTAGAAGTAAGAGACGCTATAGTTTCTTAGATTATGTTCCTCTAAGCATATCTAACAGGTTCTTTATAGAAATCTCTATGCTAGCGTCTTAAGCTAGAGTCTTATATATTTAGTTATTAAAAAAGAACTTTTTTTTAACATGCTTTTATTGTATTCTATAGTTTAGGCTGTTATTTTGTATCCTTTATAGACTGCAGCTTATGTTAAAGCTTAGTATAGCTTTTAGCTATTACAGACCTCTACTTTCTAATACTTCTATAGGCATTATTTTAATTTGTAATTTCCTCTGCATCTTTAGCAAAGTCTATAGTTAAGTTAGTTCTTAATGTCTTTTAAAGTCAAGACTATTTCTATATCACAGCCCGCGAACAAGAGAGATCTAGAGCTATCTGAACTGTCTCGCAGATGAAGCATCAAGTGTAATGAGGTAGGCGCCCCGCCTGCCAAGCCGATACTATACGACTTTCCCCACTGTACCAAAAGGTACGCACGACAATACTTAAGCTAAGTATTCTCGCATAGTATAATATATATATAGGTAATGCTAGGGTAAGCACTAGCACTAGCGGTTGTCTCTAGCCTAGCCTAAACCTCTATGAGCGAGAGAAGGCCACGTGGTTGACCGTGCCGACCTCGTTACATCAAGTAGGGAAGCAGAAAAGTTGTTATGATACTGTCTAGTGTCCTATAAAGAACAAATGCATTGCGAACCAGAAAATTGTAGTACAGTCAGCTTCCGCAAGAGCATCCAGGCTCAAATCCGGCACTTTTCTTCCTTGAAACATTCTAACTTCTGAAATACATAAGTAGCAGCTCTTAGAGAATTTATGGACAAGTAGTCATTCCAGATCCAATTTCAATGAGCGTTAAAATAAGAACAGAATACAGAGAAGTGAAAGATGCTTATGGATTGAGTGAAATTGTTAGACTAATGTAATGTATCTTGAAGAGCTAAGGTCGGATATTTTTATAGTAAGAAAGACAAGAAATAGAAGGGGTACCGTGAATACATAGTAGAGGTTATTATGCACCTTCTTTGCGAATGGCGCATGGATATTTGCTGGCACATGTTCCAAGTGGCCCTGATTGACCGTTACCGTCACGTAGAGCGGTTCAAGATAGTGGGCGACAGCATCTGCTTTATAACTCCGGGCCAATTGCAATGGATTCATTCCATGCAAATCCAAAGCAGTCAAGTCCACTACAGAGCCAAGGTTAAGAAGTCTCTTGACAGCGTCAAGGTTGCCTTTCGAAGCCGCGTAATGTAATGCCGTTCGGCCGTCTTGATCTGTCTCGTGGAGGTCGAAACCAGACAAACGCAGCATTTCAATCGTCTGAGTTCTTCTACTTTCGACCGCGTAATGCAGCACCGTACGCCCATGCCAATCTGGTAGCATTGCCGGCCGGTTCTGCATTTTGAGGAAGTAATCCACCAGGGCAAGATTGCCTCTGTATAATGCAAGATGCATGACTGATCGGCCGTCTTGATCAAGAGTCTCTACACAACATTGGCTGCCTCTTGAGCAGCGAAGGTAGTCTGCAAGTGTTGCGCTTTTGGACCAGGCAACATAGTGGGCTATTGTCATGCCCCTAAAGTCTTCTGATGTAAAGTCGACATCATCCTGGTGATATTCGATGATTTTCTGAATCGTCCGGTTGAAAAAGTAGTGCAGCGGCGTTCGTCCCATTTGATCTTGCTGCATCAAGTCTGCGCCGCAGCTGAGGAGTAGAGGTGCAACGTCGAAACTGTCTCTCTCGGTCGCAATGTGAAGTGCAGTTCTGATGATGCATCAGTCTCATATGCACGTATGTTTCGGTAAGATTGGGAAGTTGTCCGTACTTACTCGCCAAAATCATTGGTTGCGCTGACGTCGGCCTTTAGGCCGAGAAGTGTACTTACCAAGCGCGAGTTATTAGATCGCGCGGCTATCTGCGATGAGTTAGTGTCATCCGCTGGAGGGTTCATCCTACTATATGCTCACATGTAATACCGTGTCCCCAAAGATAGTCGAGTCTGATAGGCTGGCCTTGCCCTGGACCAATAGCCTTTTTAGCAACGCCCAATCCCCCCTTTCGCAAGCACTGTAAGCAGGACTATCAAACTCCAGGATTCTGGAAGCTTTCATGTGCCACTCCAGACTGACCTGAAAGGGATTATATGATCTATAGGTGATGAATACAGTCATGGACAAATTACCAGGGATTACTCGCCGCAATCGAATCGAACTGGACATGCAGTACCCTTCTCTTTTGGAAAGGACTTTAGTGTACAGAGCACGACGCTCTTCACACCAAAATCTAGCTACTACAAATCCTAACCGCAGGTCGACTTTCATGAAGCCCTGCTCAAAATTGCTCCAGTGTTGGGCTTTGAGGCCGTAAGGCTCAAATACAGTGGAGAGAAAATTTGAAACTCGATTACTAATTGGTAGACTCTGAGAAGCAGGAAGAAGGAGGTGCGGATTTTTCGTTTTTGTTTCCGTTCGACCTTGCCCAACTTCGTCGATGGGGCTATCCTTGTACTTGTCCTTCAGATAAGTGTTTTCCAAATGTCGAAACCCAATGGCGGCGTCCGCACAGATTGTCTGAGATGGCCGCGCTCTAAGCTCGGCAGTGTCACGATGAATGGTCATTAAAAGATTCCTAAAGACTATCAGCATACATCCACAAAATTTCAAATACCCGAAAAGGACAGCGTACATTGTGGTTCCCGATGCAGTATTCCGGAATATTGTATCCCAGTTATCCAAAGAGATATAGAATTTACGCAATTCCCGATCGGACGAAAGCCATATGAGCCTCTCCCATGCATGATGTCTTCTATTCTTATCCAGTGTTCCTCCCCTTTTTTGGATCTTCGTCTTGAATGCACCTATGGTGTCTATGAAGCGTAAGAGATTCGCGCGCAAGTCCGAATCCAGCTGCAGCTCTGGTGGAAGATCCGGACTTTCGTAGAATCGAATGAGACCTAAAAAGGTCCGGTGCAGAGAGCGTAGCTTGATGTTCTGCGAATAAATTTCTGATGGTGCATCTGAGATGTCGAGAATGAAGTTATAGAGGAACTTGCAGGATCCGCTGGCGGCTGCAAGAAGCGTTAGCAGACCGGCGGTGAATGATATTGGGTCCATCGCATGGACTTCGATTGTATGTTTCAGTTGAGCTGAACGGCGGCTGCATCGAAATCCTAAAGTGGCGAGGCGGTCAAAATTCGGGAAGAGAGATATACTAGAAATACATTTTGAATGGAATGAAGGTCCGAATCAGGCTATCCAAAAATCATGGAGGAGTCGTGCTAGCCCTTTTGACTTTGGAAAGGTAACAAGTCACCGCTATCCTTGTGTGAGCCTAGGCGCTTTCGTCCACTTGTATGCCTCGTGAAACGATTGGGAGGCTGGGCGGCAAGGCTGCAACGCAACAAATGCTAGGCAGCAGGCAGCAGGCAGCAGCCACGAGGCTCTCACAAAATCGAGTCCAGGCACGGAATAGGGTAATCTTGTAGCTTTGAAAGTGTCTGGTGCTCCCACCGCGGCCTTCGAACCCAACATTATCTCGCCCTCGCTGATGTTTCAGGATTGAATCGGAACTCCAGTCGTTTGTATAAGTCGATTTCGCACTACCGATGGATGCCTCAGAAAGTCAGATATTCAACGTAGGCGACGACGTATGGGTCTTGTACAACAGTAAGTATCTACCATAGTTCGACGAACACTCGATTTAACACAGTCGATAGACAAATGGTGGGAAGGAAAAGTCTTAGGATTAGAAGGATCGAGTGAACAGCACTATAGGGTGGAAGTGAATAGCATGAAAAGAGCATTGAATTTTGACAAGGACAAAGAGATGAAGGTGCGGGTGTGATGTCTCTGTATTGACGGGGCGCTGGCAGCGAGTCAAATGCTCCAGATGTGCCCGCAACGAAGGACTTCAGTGTTCGTACGTACAGAAGATAGATGCGGCAGGAGACCAGGGACGAATGAGCACATATCGCTATATCTTCTTCCGAAAGCCCTAGATAAAAGCCTGTGAGAGGGGGAAAATAACTCTGATCTCAGCCGGGTGCGCTAGCAACTTTGTATATGAAGACCTGTCTTGAGGACTCGGTAGACCACGTTGGGATATAAATTTCCATTGTAATGCGCGCGCTATTCGCTCGCAGAGGATTGCCATGTTTCGACAATTGTCTCTTGGTTCCCCTGTTTTGGCCCCATTCCCCGCTGGCTTAGCAAGGTCGGATGATGTAATGCCTAGTCGTAGCTCCTGGACCCCTCTGTGGAGCGGTTCCTTCTCAGCAGCACGACCCTTGCAGCTACTCCACGGATTCGCAACGTAGCTCTGTGTATAGCTTTTGCACGGCGTATAGTTACCGCTACAACAGCCATCGGCATATGCATCATCTGGTTCTGCACCCAACCAGGCTAGCCGTGTTGTTAGTATGTTGAAGGACACGCACGGTCCCCTTCCAAGCACTGCCTGTCTCCAGCACCCGTCACGCTCAATGCTCCCGCTCCAACCCCTCTGCCTCTGAGCTCCACCGACTGGCGACAACACCTGGCTCCCCGACACTGGCGAAGCCTTGTAACTCCCCAAGTGAAACAGGAGCTTCATACCAGCCAACATGCCGGTTACCGTTCGTGGTATTCGGTCATGGATCGATCGCACCGAAAGCCCCTCTGCGCACCTCGACATGGCCCGCCCCTCTGCTCTCGACCTGCTTCAACATATGTCCAATCATCTTTTTCACAAGCAGTCCCCGACCCCAAAATACCTCCTCGGGATATCTGGCTTCTGTGCATTGCTGCCGAGCGCTGCTGGCATGAGTCTTGTCGACGTTCTAGTCTCTAGTGTGTAAGTAATGAGGCCCCGAAGCTTGCAAGGTGCCCATTCTTACGTCGAGTAGAGCTCACGCGCAACACCAACTGCAACCAGAGGCTCCACGAAACTGTCCAGACGTGGATGGCGTGTGGGGAGACTTTGCGCTAAGAAGGAGCCTCAGCTCCACATTGTCGGAATGGATGCCGGACACATCGATGCCCAGCCCACGTAAGTTGCCCGTCTGTCTCTGCTGAACTTCGGGTTCTAATGCCGAAGTTCAGAACTCTGGTAGATTAATCCTACGGTCTTCGGCACCTGTTGCCTAACCAAGAACCCTGTCAGGCTCGTGGCACCTTGCGAATTACAATATAAGGATACAAAGGCGTTAATGGGAATGGTATAACATAGCGGACGGAAAAACCATCGATATACCCTATAATGATTTGGTTCGCATATTTGAAATGGAAAAAGTGGATTAGATATAAGGCGCCTATAAGTTTATACGAGAGTCCGAAAGTTATTCCCTCAGCTTGCTACCGATGTTTGCGGTATAAACTACTATTGTCTTAGAATGAGAAGCATTTATTTTTAAAAGAAGCACCACGCTACTATATGAAATCCAGCCCAAACTGCTCTCATACGACTCCACGTCCAGCCATCCTCTTTCGTACGTCCAAGAACCCCAGATCACTGACTAAGCCGCAGGAATTGCACAGATAAAGCAGCATCGAACCAAATAAGACGTATTCAACAATCGTCCAGAGTGACAGCTTCCCATTTTCGTTGCCATCATCCAGGAATGGATCTTCGAAATTCACCATATTCAGTTCATATATTTTCTGCAACTCTTTGGCTCTCTGGGAGTCAGTTCTGCTAATTACATCTCTCAGATGATAAGCGCAAGTACGTGTATGATCGTTTTTAGGGCCGTAACATTTCTCGTAGTGTTGGAGGGCTTCTTCAAGTCTCTTCACGGCCGCGTCTGCTGATACCGTGAAACCTGTCTTGAGCCACACAGCGGCCGTTCTACATCGGACATCCCATAACTTCTTCTGGCTCAATGAGCGCTCGGGGGCGTTGAATTCTTTTTCAAGTCGAGAGTTCAGTTTCCGAAAAATGTCGTCTGCCTTCCTCAGGTCCTCCTGCGTTCCACACTCACAGAAGACACTGCCCAGCCCTTCTTCTATTTGAATCCATTCGGCTTGATCACGGAACCAGTCACTAACAGCTGTTTTCGCCTCTTCGAACGCATTTTCGGCCTTCTTGAGATAATCAGTTCTCTTGCCGCCAGCATGATCTGCTTTCAAGAGCCTAGCATGCAGTAAGAATGCCTTAGCTTCTCCAATGCGCCGATTCACTGCAAGAATGCGCGCTGTATCCTCGTCCAATTTCGGGTTTCCACGCTTGATTATTTCTGGGACACCTCTCTTGATAGTCAACGAGCAGTCTTGCAACGATTTGAGCTGATTCAGAGCTTTCGCGGGGTGTCGCGCTCGTGCGTATAAATCGGACAAGGCGAGCGCGCATAACCATCTTTCTTTGCTCATGTGCTCTTGTTCACACTCTTGAATCGAGTCTTTCAAAAGTGTCTCGGACTTTAACCACTCGCTCTTCCTGGCCCTGGCGAGGGGTGGAAGAGTATGTGCTTGCACGAGCAGACGGATAAGTTCGTACCGATAGGTCCGTTGTCTATACAACCTGTGAGTGAATTCCAATACGCATGATGCATCCTCATAGCGACCCTCTTCCATGAAGACTTGAGCAAAAGTAATAACAGACGCAACCATCCTATCTTGAAGTTCAAATCCAGCAAAACTCTTGCTCTTTGGATGCTCCTTCACAAAGTCCAAGAAACGTTCGAAATGTGGTATGAATCGCAGCTTCAGATGATACGTGCGTTGGTGATTGTCGTCTAACTCTTTCCATTGAGCTTTGTCATCGCGATAGCGGACATAGAGCATGCAGAGAGCAGATCCATGGAGTCTTATCAGGGTCGCAACATCCCATTGTTTCTTAATTCTCCTCCGAACTTCGCGCTGCACGAATTCATGCATGAAATAATTTCTGTCGTTGTCTTTCCCTATGAAGGAACAGTTCTCCAACCTACCAAGCATTACTGCGAGCTTGTCACGGTCTTTCTCCTCGAATTGTGTCTCTATCAGCTCGGACTCTATACGAGCATTGTTGAGGCACGAAAGCTCGCCTAGTAACTTCAGGGTCGGGTTCGTCAATCCTCTGATCGGTCTCTTCTCGTCACAGCGTGCAGTAACAAGAGGCCTAAAAATGTCGTGATTTTCATCGAATAGTTGGTTCACGAGATCTGGAAATTCTGCTCGCTTAGTGGTCAAATGCTGATACATGTCTGACATAGGTATTTTAAACTCGAGCATATGATTAGCAAGCATCTTGATGAAAACCGGTAGTGCGACCTTGGAAAGAAACTTGCTCATCTCTTCATCGGTGAGCACATCTTCGTTGTACCAACGGAAGAGATCCAGAGATTCTTGTTCCCTCAAGTTGTCAACCTCGATACATTGGCCTTCAGAGGGCTTGAGCTTGACGAAGTGTTTCAAAAGACCTCGGTTCGTCGTAGTAATTAGTATCTGACCTGCATGGCTCGGTTCAAGTACAGGCATGAATGCTTTAATAGACGATGCGAACTCTTCACTGTTAAGACCGTCGAGTACGATAAGCCAGGGACCGTTGTCCTTATTCAAAAGCCACGTTCTTACGATATCGATCGCTGAGTCGGGTTCGAAGACCGCGCCGTGCACCTTTTCAGCAATCTTGCGCAACGATTCTAGTAGCTTGTGACGATTTCCGGCTTCAACCCAGAATGTGTGGATTCTGTGCTCAGCCACCTTGGTATTTCTGAAGTGTGACGCATAATGGTGCGCCAGGTGTGATTTCCTTGAAGAGAAGATCAGTACAGTCAACAGCATTCCGGGCGCCACTTACCCAATTCCGCTGATTCCATGAAGTCCGATGATTTTCGATCTCGCGAAACCGGCTGCAATCTTCTTGTCGACATTGTGTCGACCGTACAAAGGATTCTGCACGTAGTCCTGGGTATACGCAAAATCACCCAGAGTAGAATAACACCGTTCGGCCATTTTTGAACCTGGTCGCGTTTTAACCATCGCCTCGGGTTTCCAATTGGACCACATCATCCGTTTGAGAATACTAATCTTCCAGTACTGTTTTTTTCTCACTGCCCTCTGCAGTGGATTATGCTTGTTATCAATCAAACTGAGAGAAGTTTTAGATGCTTGCACAACATGCTCGAGCCGCTCACGAAATCCCTTCTCGCCTACGCAGGGATTCAACAGCACGAAAATATCGACATCAACCTCCCACGAGAAAATTCGCTGGTCCTTTTCTTGTAGCATTTCCTCAATAATTTCCAGAAGTCCATAGAAGCGTTGATCGTTTTCTCCCTTTTTCAGACCCTCGATCCAAGACGCGACTACTGCGGGGTTGTTGTGGAATGAATAGTCAGTCATAACGGTTTTTGGAACTTTCAAAGGGTGGTCTTCATTAGCACCTCTGCGCCGCTCGAATTCTCTATACCCATCGTCAGTCCAGCCATGTTTCGCTACGGTCATCAGGTTGAGGAAGATGCAGGCTAGCGAATAAATATCGAACGTTCGACCATGCTTGCTTGGTCCTACAAAATACTCTGGTGGTCGATAAACGTAAGAGCCAAATCTGTTCTCATCAGTATGAGCTGTTCCACTTGTACCTTCGGAATCCTTGAGAGCTGCATGCCCAAAATCACATATCTTCCATGTCGACTCTTGAGGGTTCCGCTCGAAGAGTAAGATGTTGCTGGGTTTGAGATCATGGTGGTATGCTATTTGAGTCTTGATCTCACGATGAATGAAGGCGACTGCTGATGCAAGGTTCTGAATCGATCTGTAAATGAACTTTTGACGGATTTTGTCTTCAGAGAGCCCATCGGGTGGCTTCCGCAAGTCGAGCCATGATTTCATGTCTCCTGCGTCCGTATGAGGAAAGAAAAGATGCAGGTACTCTGTGGTATCGTCCTCGACTGGTGGATCTTCTGCTCCTGCAGAGAAGCTAGCAAACAATTGGATGATGCCATCGTGTCGCCTCGAGCGGACCGTTTCTCTCTCGCTCAGCATTCTGTCCCATCTCGTTTCATGCCCTTTTTTGACTGCCTTGTAAGCTATGACTTGACCCTGAAGATATTACGTCGTCAAATCAGCTTCCTCGTCCAAATCAACTCGCCAAATAACATAAGCTCACCGGAATATAGCCCTCTGCGTCTAGATGCTCATCCGCAACTTGAACTTTGAACACCTCGCCAAAACTTCCTCCTCCAATCCTCTTAGGCTCAGTTAGAAAAGGGAACCGTAGGTCCCATGCCGCTTCATATTTCCCGTGAGCTTCTGGTCGAAAGATAGGAGGTATGCACCATTGGTGTTTGAAAACATCTTCCGCAATATGGTGAAGGTCTGGACAATTCTGCAGGAACTCTAAAGAGCAATATGGTCCAAAATCACCGTGCATTTTGTCGAATATATCGTCCGTTATGGGAGGATTTGCGTGTGAAAGAGCTACAATCAGTTGAGACCGGTCGAGTAAAAGTAGCACACAGTAGAGCTTGGCTGCTCTACCACTGACAAATTTTTCGAGATTCGTCACATCTATATGTGATAGCGCATCATCGTCTTTGCTTGCTGCGATATCTGCTCGAAGACTATTACGCAACTTTGGAGGGCTATTCTCGCTGAATAGCGACTCGATAAAACTTCGCTTTACGAAACGAGTGTCCCGGTGTTGTCGCTGATAGCTGATGTTGTTCATCTCGGCTTCAATCTCATCTTTTAATTGCTTTTGTTGATTTAAGCCCTTTGCACCTTTCTTCCTAGCCATGTAGAGGTCTGTCGAGCTAGTCAGCCTGCGAGGTACATATATCTTCCCATCGTATCTACAGGGGATAGTGGGACCGGGCCCCTTTTTTTTCCCTGAGCTGGGAGGTACTGACGTTTGACGTCTTTCGAATGGTTATCCCAATTGAAAAATGAAACAGCACAATCCCGTTACGAGAATGAAAATTTTCGAGCATGGTGGGATGTCCTTGCTTAAAAGAACATGAAGAACCTGACCGCCTCGAGCCTCAGCCTTGTCAGATGGGGGGTGGACTCCATTGCTTATTGGGTTGATTAAGGGTGAAATATTGCGTGCAGGAAAACATGGAGGTCCTGCATGACAAACAATTGGCCCGCACAAGCCACAACATGCTTAGCACCTTCATTCCGCAAAACAAATGATAGCCTCGAAGCCAGCTCTCTGACCGAAGGCATACCAGCCTTTTTAAGGCTCCGTGAAGCAGCTCGCTCTGATACTTAAGGCTTGATTAGCGGTGAAGCTTAGGGTGAAGCAAAGGATGCAGCTCACCCTGCCGTAGTAGGACAACAAATGCTGTGTTTCGTGTTATGTGGTACGAGGCTATTGGTGAGATAATTGAACAATAAAATAAAAAGGGGTTATTAAGGTCATTCTAAGAATATCACTTAGGGTTGCATAGAAGATCTAAATATTGTTTCGCACTATTTTCTTAAGCGTTTATAGGAAGCTTAAGAGAGTCGAGCTAATTCTGCAGAGGCAAAATAGGAGATGAAGTAAAAAGCCTCAGGGCTGGCCTAACGTGAGTTGGAGCAAGAATTTAACGGCACCCTAATGATCCTATGACCTTTAACACATACGAATTATATGATATTGTCCCTCGACTGTGGCCACATTTCCCTATAGATTCGAATTAAGTATCTCACAAAGTTAGCCAGTCTTTACTGTACTTTATATTCTGCTTGATTATGTTACGCTGTGTCTAAGGCTTAGCTGCTGTTAAAGATGTGAAAATGACATCAGAAAGCTTCAAACAAATGCTGCAAGGACGTTATCAGAGAGTTGCAAGATTGACCGACAAGGTTTGTGACCGGTGAGCCTGCGAGCTATAAGGCGAGCTGGGGAATTGCGTCATTCTGTCTGATTCGCTACTGTGGTTGTGCAAGGGCGCGCACGCTGGATTACGCCTGGCCAGGCTTGTCAAGGTCAGTCTACTTTCTGGGGCAGAGTCTAGAATTTGGGCGATGAAAAATTTCTAAAAAAATTTCAATTTTCGCATTTGCACTTCGTCTAAACTGTCTTCATCTATAATAGCTTGTAACTCAATCACGAGTTACTTAGAAGCAGGTAGTAGTACTGTAATATTACTTAAAAGAAGCTGCAAAAGGCTGTATGACTCGCAACAGGATATGCTCTCCATTTTATATACAGAATCTCGTATTTCAGCTATAAGGGCTCTTTCGCGATATTAGTAGACCACGTCGTGCTATATCTCTTCCCGTCAATGGAGCATCGGAAGAGGGCGTAACATACGACAAACCACTCAGCCACGCAGCACTGTGCAAAGCCTCTAGCGATCTCCATGAATCTCAGGTCTGTAATTAGACCTTCGTAAACCTGATTTGACTCTATCCTCTCAACATGAAACTGCCTTTAATTGTTGTTTTCTGTTCATGAGCTAGAAGGTGCCTCTGCGTGCCCAGAGTCAAGCAGGCGAACTACGAATCTAGATGCATCTATGTGGATCGAATGACTTTATCAAAATAAGTAATTAAATGCGAAACGAGTACGAGCTGAAAAGCAAGTTGTTTCGTGAGCTAACCGACGATGGCTGGACAGCGTAACACGAGAAGCAATCAGACGAAGGTATAAGTAAAAAAGTGCGAAAGCACGACAGAAAGGCGAAGAGACTACAGGGTTAAAACAGAACGGATGGAATCCGTCACCCATCCCGTGCCTAGACTCTATTATAATGGTAGGCAAACTTTTAGGTTTTAACCTAAACTTGCCCCCGCTAGTGTTTTTTTTACAAAAATGTACAGGTGCGGTGGTGTTTTGTTGTAACCCTAACTGCGCGATAGATTTTGATTTTCCTGCGCGCAGGCATCGCCCGCACCGGGCTCCTCTGCAGGTTTGCCGCACCAGCTACCAGCGCCGCCAGCAAACCACCACCTTAGCGACCACAACAGCAACCACAACTGCTAACACAACACAGTTCTCTACTTCCTAGCTGTGCTTAGGGCATTAATGCTCTAGCGCAGCGACAGCGCAGCTAATTTTATTATTCCTTTTGCAGGGAAACGCGCACAGGCTCTGCAGTTCGTGCAGCAGCGACAAGCCCGCGCCCGCAGACTACAACTACAACCACAACGACTACAACAACCACTAACACAATAGGTTTCTCCACCTTCTAGCTGTGCCTGGGACATTAATACCTTAGCCTAGCAACTGTGCATTAGATTTTGATTTTCCTTTGCAGCGACGCGCGCACAGACTCTGCAGTTCACACAGCAGCTACCAGCCCCCGCCGGCAGACCACGACTACGACCACGAACGACTACAACTACCACATCCTCCTCAACAGGTTTCTCTAATTTCTGGCCGTGCTTAGGGCATCAATACTTCAGCCCAGCGACGGTGCAGTTGATTGTAAGTTTTCCTTTGCAGGGTTCTGCGCACCAGCTTTGCAGTTCGCGCAGCAGCTACCAGCCCCGACTGACTGTAGACCACGACCACAACCACAACCACCGCCACCTCAACAGGTTTCTCTACTTTCTGGCTGTGCTTAAGGTATTAACACCCTAGCCTAGAAATTGCGCAGTTGATTTAGACTTTTCCTTTGCAGGGACGCGCGCACAAGGTCTGCATTTCGCGCAGCAAGCTACCGGCTGTCGACCACGACTACAACTACCACCATCACCGCAACTACGACTACCAACACCACCACCACCACCACCACTACCAACGCAGCAGGTTTCCCCACTTCCTAGCTCTGCTTAGGGCATCGACACTTCAGCCCAGCGACTGTGCAGTTGATTGTAAGTTTTCCTTTGCAGGGATGCGCGCACTGGCTCGCTGTTGGCGCAGCAGCTACCAGCCCTGGCTGTCGACCACAACTACCACCATCACCACCACCACCACTAACGCAATAGGTTCCTCCACTTCCTAGCTGTGCTCAGGGCATTGATGCCCTAGCCTAGCAACTGCGCAATTGATTTTGATTTTCCTTTACAGGGATGAGCGCACAGGCTCTGCAGTTCCGCCGTTGGCCACGACTACAATCACGACTACAACCACCACCACTACCACTACTAACGCACTAGGTTTCTCCACTTTCTAGCTGTGCTTGAGATATCGATGCCCTGGCCTATCGACTGCGCAGGGCGAAGCACTACTCGTACATGCTCGCTAGGGTCGCATACTGCATACGCGTGTTAGGGGTTAAGAAGCTACTTTAGTTAGGTAAGCGCAAAAAGCAGATAGGTAAAAGAATTCCTAAGCATTTCTTAGTAAAGTATCTCTTTCTTGTTTATATAGTCTAATAAGTTAAATATTTATTTTGCAAGTGTATAGAAAGTGTTAGGCGTTAGCAGACAGCAACCTAGATCTAGAGGAGACAGCACTTGTAGTAGGCTCACTGCGGCAGTTGTTACTGCTAGCAACACAAGAGAAGCGCGCAGTAGTGTACTATCGCAGCAAAGAATAGTGTTAGAAGATAGTAGAAGATTTTAGCTGTAAATACTATTGCATAGACGTTTCTACTTGCGCTAAGCGGGTAGAGTTGTAGCTTGGCAATATTAGGCTAATTATAGCTCTGTAAGCGCTAGGGACAGGAGTTAATTGCTCTAGGGTAGTGTATATATACTACTTGTAGAGATCCTGTAGAGTATAATTAACTTTGTATAAGAGAAGAGGTGTAAAGAGCGAGCTAGAGAGAACATATACTAAGTTGTTATCTATAGTAGATAATAGTTTTATAGAATAAGAGTTGCTTAAGCACAGTAACAGCTTCTATGTATAGAGAATAGAGATATTTTTAATTAGCAGCAGAGAGAAACATACGTTAACAAACATAGTATATGTAAGGTTAGCAGAAGCTAAGCTTTTAACGCTGCTAGATTAGAAAGAGGTACTTTGCAATAGTTACATACAAACGTCTATAATTAGTGCTAGTGTAAAAAAATGCTTTACGCTTTAGTAGATTATAGCAAGTTGTAGCAAATTACTGTAATTTCTAGTATATTACAGCAATTTACAGCAACCTGCAGCAAATTACAGCAAATTACAGTAAATTACAGTAAATTACAGTAAATTACAGTAAATTACAGAAAAGTATAGCAAATTGCAGCAAATTACAGCAAATTATTGTAACGTATAGTAAATTATAGTAAGTTGCAGCAAATTCCTATAAAGTGCAGCAAATACTAGTAGACTATAATATATTATAATAGTATAACTCTAGTAACGTTTAGTAAACTGTTACAATCCTTGCTTTGTAGAAGCACACGGGTTAATATTACTTCCTATGGGAGTATAGGGCGGGGGGTAGGGGCCGACGGTAGGGTGTACAGTCCTACGTAATGGCTACTAGGCTTATGGAGGATAGTAGAGTGACCGGATCGTGGTTTGTCCCTATGGCGGCAGTATGGTGGCCGGGTCAAACGGTCCTGTTGGACAGAATTAGAGGTATATATAGTGCAAGATATACAAATAGTATTGCAGCTCTTTAGAAAGCTAGAATGCTACTTAGTCTATGTAAAGAATAAACTAAACGTTAAACACACCTTCTAAAGATTATTTAAGGTTAAACTATATACATGTCTAGAGGTGCTAAGAACAAGTTAGACAAGTTTCTTAAGTTAGTAGCACAGCTAACTTGCTTAACTTGCTTAACTTGTTAGGGCTCGCAGCCTTCTTCCTTACTAGATGACGCATTCATCCATAACTGCAGGCAGCTGCGCTGCCTCCGCGTCTTCTGATTGGTCCGTAAGCGAGCCCTGCCCCAACCTAGCTAGATTGTGGAGCACTGTCGGTGGAGTTACGTTGGTCCAACCATAGACCGTAACACGCTGCCCCTCCTCCCTAGCGGCGTCCTCGCCGCTCTGCTCACACAACTGCGTTAGTAAGAGTTTGTTTATAAGGTAGGCGTTTACCTGCTAGAAGGCGTCCTTAACATCCATCTTTCTTAAGCT